CAATGTCGGAATCACAATCATGACAACTTGCGCGTAGACAACAGTCTGTCATAAGTTTACGCACTAGCTCAAGATGGAAGAATATTACCGACAAAACTAGGGACAAGAAACATGTCAACCTGAACACAAACCAACGTTTTTGCTGTGTCACATGCCTATGCTAGGCACGACGGAACGCTGAAACTTACAGAAACAGAAAGAAGTTCAGAGGGGAGGGGAGGATGCGATCGAGGAAACATGATTTTTAGTGGCATAACGTTTCGGATACTCGACCGAGCTCATCATCAGAGACTATCGCGGAAAAGTGTTGTCCGTAGTGGTCACACCAACCATATGCGGTTTACAATTAGCAGATTTCGTGATCATCGCTGGAGGTCCTGATTGATGGGGCTCCATCAGCCTTTTCGGAGATTGTCTCTGATGATGGCCTCAAGCGAGAATCCGAAACGTTAGGTCAGCGAACTTTTGCAATCGTATCTTATCTCTCCGAATGCTAGCCATTTAAGCACGGAACGGTCACATTTTGACAATACTTATTAGGTGACCTGCAACTTGCAAAAACAAACTTGCGTATACGAAAAGGTTCCCACGCGTTTACACTATCACGCAAAGGTGTATAACGTTAAGCTGAATAATAAGTGGCTTTATAAGTACAATACAGAGTGCAGTCATTTAGGTATGGCGTGAGAATCACCCGAAAAACATGCTACATGAGTCATCAGACCCTGGCAAGAAAGTTCGAGTTGTCACGACATGACACCGCCTACATTAGGTAAGCTAACTCATAATCGACATTGGTTAGCACACATGCAGTCTCGTTTTTGATCTAATGGGTGGATTTGATCCTGAGAAAGCCGTTCAGCTAGGAAATCTGCATGTTTTGACCAATTTACCTGAGATCGGACAAATTTCCTATGACAGAACCAAACATTTTGCTTTCTTTCATCTCCAGCCAAAACCCTATCATTAATTTTTGAGCAAATTTAAAAAAAAAGTGGTCAAAGTTCTTCCGTTTTCATTTCGATGTTATCTTGGAAAGAGGTAACAAGGGAAAAATACTCTTCAGCCGTTGGCGTGTTATTTAGTATATAAAACCAGAACGATGAAAAGCCTAAACCCAGAAGGGAAAACGAGAGGTTAAAATTTGACCGCCACGTTGAGCACTCAAGTCAACCCCGTCGATGTAGAGGGCATCGGTTTTACTATCATAGCTGAATGCCCTGAAGGGAACGTGATGATTCCCGATATCTTCCGACCTAAATCGGCAAGACAACGAGCTCGTAGCGGCTCAATAGTTGGGGCATTAGACACTGATCGAAAAGCTCCCGAGCTCGAGCCTCGGGTGGTACACCACATGGGGTTGACGGGTATGACTGACTGACGACGGTCGATAAGCCAGAAATGGACACTCCAATCTCCCTTGTCTTTGCCGGCATTACTATCTGCCTATACTGCTAGCTGCTGTCAGGGCCCGAGAAATGATGCCCAAGGCGGAGGCTGGGCGGAACAAGTGAGTCCCATTAGCGGTCGGTGAACGTTCGTCAATGGGTGTAGATTCCTAACTATGTCTACTTCCAGTGAGCAAGGGGGGCTAGTTTCCGTTATTTTTGAGCTCAGACCTCACCAGAAACCGCCAACAACTCGCCAAAGCTCCACAGGATACACACCAGCAGGTTGCATGGCCTGACCTTAAGAAGACGCGTGAGGCTAGCAGTGGTGTTTGTGTGCGTAGCTTAGCAACCGCCCTGCGGGAGCAGTACACTAGCGAACACGCACACGCAAGGACAGAAATGCAGACTACAGTGGTCGCCACAGACCATGCAATTTTCATAACTTTTTATAAGTTTTATCATTACTCGAATACCAATGTGAATGCATTTAGGAAGATTT